CTTTATTCTCCACCTAAAACAAAACCCCCGTTGGATCTGTTTCAACAATGTTTGGGAAGACGGTTTTTTGTGTTCGGAGACTATAATGCTAAGCGTCCTGAGTGGCGGTGTGATAGTAGTAATGAGAGTGGTAACATCAACGGGGGAAAAGCGGAATGGGCTGGAATGGGACGGAATGGCCCATTCCGTCCCATTCCATACCACTCCATACCATAGTAGGAATTTTTATAGCTGGCTGCGAGGGTGAGATCGATAACCAATGATCTTTTTGAAAAACTTTCAGAAACTTTTGATATTAGAGAAAATAGTTTGGATTCTAATAGTAGACACCTGGATCAATCACAACATTTAGTTATTTTATTGAAACAGTGCTGTGTCATCGAACAAAATCTTGATTATTGTGGAGAAAATGGGAAAGTATTTTTTGTGAAAATATTTTCAATCATCAACAGTCTGAAGCATAATTCTAGTTAATCGGTTACCCGAGCCAATGTCTTTTCATAGGGTTATTCTAATTTGCTTTTAATTTAATAATCCACAAATTGGATGCCTCTTCTAGATCAATGGATTGAATTTCAAATGTGGTGCCCAAATCGAATAATATTTCGCTTTCATCTGGGTAATCGCCCCTTCGAGATATGTCAGCAAAAACTGCTGATGAATTGGCACCAAACGTAATCTCAAATAAAACACTTTTTCTGTCTGATGTGGGATCGTACGAATTAGCAAACATAAGGGCGATTTCTCTAGTACGAGTTGTCGACAAAAATTCATTTTTTGTTAGCGTATTACCAATATTCTTCTTCATTTGTTCGAATTCATCATTTGAGAATTGTCCACCACGATAAACGGTTAGATGCTCAACCGAGCCTTTGATTTGTTCATATTCTTGTAAAATCATAAGGCGAAGATCGTTAATGAGAAATCTGTACGCGTGTATCTGTCCAGCGTTTTCCGTACATAAAGCTTGAGTAATCGGGCGGAAAATAAATGGACGAACGTACCATCGAATCACATCCTCAGAGCTATAGGCCTGATCGAATTCCTCAACTTGTTTAAGTTGTGGCTTATTATCATGATAATATTCTTTCAGTTTTGCAATCATTTCTTCTTTTGCAGCTTGTTGAGCCGTCATATTTGTATGTATTCTCCTTCGAAGACCTATTTTGTTCTTACTGTCATCAAGTTTGTTGCAGACGTCAGAAATGCTTTCAGAAACAATTGGGTCCAGTTAACTGTAATCACTTCTGACACGTACTATTGATCATATTTTCGAGTGTGTTTCTCTCGGCCTCATACCTCATTCATTTCTACACAAAAACAAATGTTGCTACTATGCTCAGCGTAGTCGATTACTTATAGTCCATGGCATTTTCGATTACCTATAGTCCATGGCAAGAATATTATCATGATGATGGAACACGAAGTCTGTACCCAGTGCCAGTGGGTCGGCCAGTTAACTGGCACCCAGTCCCGAGTCCTAAATTGACGCTGATGCATACCCCTAGTGGAGAATGGCCGTGTGATACAAATCCAAATAAA